GATTACAGGGAGGCAGGTTAGATTGCAGAGAATGTTGTAATAGGTCGCGGGTTCAATTGGTGTAAGGGAAAGATGGATTTGAACAGTCGACCTTTCGCTGGTTACCCTCTAAGATAGACTTATTCAATTTAAAAGATATTGTATTGAGTGCACTCGAATATGTTTTCTTCCAGCATTCGCACAAACGCAACTTTATTGTTTCCATAAATCCGTCCAAACAAGATATAAAAATAACTTTCATCATAGTATGCGACCACAAAAACCGCCATTTCCATTACGTTATGTGAATATCAAGTGCTCACATGTGTAGTTGCATCGATTGTTGAACTTGACAACTTTTGCATTAAAAGCTAAAACCTGGCAGCTATCCAAAACCAAATCCACTAAGAGTTGCACCTGCATGTGGTCACATAACACATACACACACACACTTACACATTTATATGCAGAATGTATATGTGGGCGTGGCTGTCTGTGGCATTGCGATTGCTGGCGCTGCTGCTGCTGTTGCTGCTGCTGTTTGCATATTGTTATTAATTTTCATTTTGAATGGCATGTTGACAGTCACTTTGACACTGACAGCTTTGCTAAAAAGTATCAGCCAAGTGCCAGAGAGATGGAGAGCGGCAGCAGCAGGAATATATGTTGATCCTGCTGAGAGCTAAAAGCTGCTACGGCCACTCGGCGTCAAAAGGTTTATAATTTCAAAACAGCCAACTCTGATGTGGCACGTCAACAATATGCAGCAGGTGTAAATCTCGCACGCACAGAGATACACGCCAACACACACACACAGAGAGAGAGAGAGAGATTTTCTGTATATGTGTGCGTTTGTATTTGTAAGTTTGCTGAGCCAAGTTTAACTTTTGGCCAGAATAGAGCAGCAAATGCCGCTTGCTGTTGCACAACTGATAAGCGAATAGTAGAACGGGCTGCAACCACAATTTCAAGTCCGCATCTTTGAATCTGTCAGTTAATGATATTTTTTTTATTTAAAACTCTTTGCTGAGGGGGGCCTGGCGGCGAGGGCGCCATTCAGTTTTCTGTTTGGCTTAGCTCAAGTGACGTTTTTCCTTGGCTCGTTGCAGCCCCTTGAGCTTTCGCTTTTTGCTTTCTTAATTACACCACTCGAAAAATGGCTCGAAAGTGCAGCAGTGCCCAACAAAATTGCAGACACGCAAATAACCGCAGCCCCCGAGGTGCTTCGCAATGCTAAAATAACAGTAGAAACAGAAGTGGTAAGCCGAAGGAGCCCAACTTACAGGGAAATGCTCTATGAAGGAAATAGAAAACAAGCACTTACATATATAAAGAAAAATGCCTAAGTTCTTCAATGAATATAAAAATATATATGCAAATATTCAACAACTAAAGAAGACCATAATTTATTATATACGTTACATACTTGTAGCTAAATTCAAGCTACCCAATAAGCATGTATAAGCAACAGCACTAACAGCTCTAGCCTTGGAATTTCGAATGCAGCCGTTCTGCACTCGTGTTGCATGACAAAAAACCTTGGATAACTCAGCGTATGCGCAATATTTGGTTTTTACGTATACCATATTTATTTACCACTTACTTTGCGTGCCGTGTTTAAATAGTGGCTTACTGTGGTCGCACGGAAATTTGAGCTTACAGTATTTAGATGAAAATTTCAAATCGACATTTTCAATGAATTTTTTGCCCTTTTTTTGAGAATTGATTTTGTTAATATTTCTCTGCTCTCATTTAAATTAAAATATTCAATTACAATTCATTTAAAACTATTGTAAAAAGTATTCAATGCCTATAATTAAAATCTAGACCATATGAACTGCAGCTGAATATAATATTGCTCTGTTGCCCAATTTAACCACCAACTTTTCCTGGATATTCTTCATAAACAACCAGCACGTTCTTTCATTTCTGTAGCAACATATTCCACATTTTGTTGAGAAAAAAAAAGAAGAAAAACAACGAGTTTGTGTATGTGCTATAAATATAATTCGTTGACCATGTTGTGTTTGTTGTTGTCGCTGGTGTCCTTTTTGGGGCACGGGACTCGGGTTCCATGTCCGTTATTGCTGTTATTATTGTTGTTGGCCAGCATTTCGACACCTTTTTCGCACATAAATTTTAATAACACATTCCAGAAACGCAGTGCATGTAAATTGCACCCACACGATACGCTCACATAACCATATTATGTTCATGCATGTATGTATATATGCATGTGTGCCATTGTGTGAGTGTAAGTATATATTTTGTATGTGCAAAACACACAAAACAATTCCCAAATGTCGCGACACGTAACGCTGAAAAACGCTACTGCTGCTGCTGCTGCAATTGGCAAACAAGTCAAGGTGGTAAATAGCAAATGGAACACAGAAAAGTTGGTAGGGTATTCGTGGAATCAGGTAGATTGCAAGGCAGCTGGTAGGGGGTGTATCCAACGGGGACGACCTACATGTCGCTCATTTTGTGTCAACTGCGCAACGTAAATTGCCAAAAGGGCAGCCAAGAACAACAAGAGCAACAACATGATGCAACAACAAAGTCGGGCCCGTTGACAAGTTAAAAAGTTGTGCGGGCATACAAAAAAAAAAAAAACAGAAACAAACAGCAGCAGCAGCAGCAGTAGCAACAGCAACAGTCAATAAACTATAAAATATGCAATGTTTGAATATTTTTTCAACGAAAATATTTTATGCATGCAGGTGAATTGATTCAACGAGCTGCCAACGAACCAGCCAAACAGTCAAGCGCTGGCATTCAGTCAGCCAACCAAATGGCAACCAACAACGTTGCACCCAAAGGAAATTAGCTTGACAGGAAATTCCACACAACATTGCTGCGACGAGGCCGCGAAACCACCAAAGACCACCCAACATACCCAACCACCCAAGCACCACCATATGCCCATTGCACCGCCCAAAACTCTGGCTGCCACAATGCACGTTGACATTTTCGCTCATGCCGATTTTCATATTACATTTGGTTGAGCTTAAATGACAAATGTGGTTGGTAAGCCGACGTCTGGGGCCTGCCTTCCACCGCCCGTGGGGACCACCCCTATGCATCCTTGGTCTGCCTCTGGGCTGCTCCTACTGTGCAGATCGTTGCCGGCTTGCACTGAAGTTGAGGCATTTTCGGTTTGCGGTATTATTGCCAAATGACAGTCCAACTGACTGACTGAATGACTGCCTGAATGACTCTATATTTGAGTTCCTGGGTGTGAGTGTGTGTGTGCGTGTGTGATTGAGTGTATGCGCCTCTGTCTGGTCGCGTTGGCTTTGTGATTCTGATGGATTGTGTTGGTAGTGGCAGCAATGCGGCGACAACGGCTCTCATGTTGTGGACTGACTCGACTTTTTTGCTTATATGCAGATAAAAAGATATGTACACAACAACAACAATAAGGTAGAAAAAACCGTCGGATGCTCTTAATAATTGCTAAGAAATAAATAAGAAGAACCCACAAGTCGAAACGTTTACAAATAAGTAAAATCAACGCGAAAATACAAATCAGAAGATCTTTAAGTAGTGCAGAATATTTTACAGGAAAAAAGTATCTTTATGTGTAAACAACCTTATGCTGACTGGCCGAGTAATTAAGGATCAACAGCTCATGAGACTGCATGGCTGTGTGTCTGCTTTGCTTATTTAACTATTCGATAGATCTATTTCACAATCAAGCAAATATTTATTAGATCAACAAATACCCTAGGTATTTTTTACTTGTGTCAAATTGATCACATTACGCAATGGGCCCAGTTATTGATACTCCATCAATGAATAATACGATTGGTGTCTACGCTGTTGAATTCGTTTTCCAAATCCAATCCATTGTGTGCACATTAAGGGCGTAATCGTCTAAATAGGCCTTACGTACATAAACAATATTTAAATTTAAAAATAACGATTTGTTGCTGTAGAGTTGATAGAGTAAGCACACAATAGGTATGCCAAACAAGAGCTCGTTAACCAGATACATATTCAATTTACGATCTTCCCACAAATGCAAAAAAAATATATATGGGACGCAAAACGAATTTGCCTACACCTGGTATGGCCACTCTCATCAGAAAGTTCTGTCCAGCGGTATTCTCAATGCGAAAAACACTTATTCACACGGCAATGTTCACCAGAAACAGACACTTAACCGTCACAACTAACTTAGAAATGATACGATGATACTGCATCTCTTCCATTCGGCTATACAGATTATTGTAGCACAGCTTGAAAAACTTACTTCCCCATGCGATGCCATGAGCAGCCAGGCACTACACTGAAAAAAACGGCGATAGACGAGCAGGTCCGCTGCGCAGCAATCTGATGTCCTGAGTATGCCACATGGCGGCAATTGAACAAATGAAAGCCGGACATGATGTATATTTCGTGACTTTCTTCGAGTTTTTGTTATTTATGTGCTGGTCATTAAAAGGCGAATTAATCGAAATGACCTAGGCAATTGGCTTTCAATGTTCAAAGGTCAAAATTAATCGACAAAGGAAATGGCCTGTGTAAAAAATCAATATTGAGCGAAACAATAGTAAAGCTGCTTCCGAAATATAGAAATTTTCATACTACTGCGTTTGTCATATATTAAAATATATATCTTAGTACCAAAGGGTTTTCGAGAACTGATATTCTTCAAAAATTAACTTTTTTTATTATAAGTATATGACTTAGTCACCGTTTGAATGTGATTGGCTGACTCTGCTTATAAAGTTCTAACTTGTTCTCTCTTGACAACACTGAAGACTAATCACACAAACAGGTCTAATATAACTAATATAAAATTACTAAATTTCATATTCTGAAGAAGCGATCAGTCAGTCAAGAGGCATTAAAAGTATGACGATTTCAAATACTATTTTAAGCATATCTTATCAATATTTCCCTAAGATTTATAAGACTCGCGCTTATCAGCAAGTGATTCCCTCGGACAACCATCAGAAGCATATATAAACACCAAACCCATCCACAATCGACAAATCAGTCTTTGATCAGTTACCAGACAGTTAAAATAATGTATTCCCCAGCGAAACTTATTGCATGTACGCTGATTTTTGCACAGCTACTGGGCACCATTTATTGCGGAGTGTACGATAATACGGATCACTGGGTCGTTTCCGATAAGACGCAGAACTTTCCCGAAAACGCAGTTCTCGGTGGCATCGATTCATACGGCTATGATAACTACGTGGGGCGTGTCGTTTATACAAGCTCGATTCTGCCAGCCCGTGTTAGGTCCGAAACTGGGTACACTACCTACAACACCGACACACTCGCCAATCAAGCGACCTACTACGAGTTGCTGGTCGCGAATGAAACCGTCAGCTATCATTGGGTGCGCAGTTACGATGGCTTCAGGGAAAGGAATGCTGTTTCTGTGGGTACAAGCGCACTGAACGAACGTGTTTACGTCTGCCGCGCCAGAACCGATGGCGGTATTTTCATTGGAACCCTGTATCTTGCGCAAAAGGTTTGTTTTATCCGGTACGAGAATTTCCCTATGCGACAGATCAGTAAATACGAGGTACTGGTCCGACAAGTTACACCTGCAGCGTGGGCACCATTCGTCAATCAAATCAATTGATAAGATTGCAAAGTTAAATACAAACGAACATTTATAAGTAAAATGTTTTGATAATAAATTGAGCTAAATCATAACACGAAACATAAAGCACATAATCCCTGGGGCTTATATTTACTACTTTATTACTCAAGATAGCTTTTAGTCTCAAAAGTTTGAAGACACACACTCCAAAGTTTATGTATAGTTAACAAATTATTTCGAGTAAATTGCGGAGAGTATAGAGTATAAGGGTAAGCGGGAATAGTTTATGAAGAAAAAAAAAGATTTGCTCTCTTATATTAATGGCTATTTTTCTTCTTTGTCTAAGAAGATAAATATATTTGTTACATATTATATATTCAAAAATATATTTTATATATCTAAATACGAGCTCTTTTGAAATATATTAACTTTCCAGAGTAGATTTTAGTAGACCAGCAATTTCTTTAGATGGTAAGGTAGCCGTTGCTACTCAGCTAGCATTTGTTTTGGTAGCAGTGCTTTTAACAAGTATGGGAATACAAAGGCGCCTTTTGGCAGCAGAAACAACCCCTGTACATTGCACATTACAACAATTACAACAACAACAACGACAAATATCAACATTGAGATGCCTATCGAAGCCTATAAATAAATTTGCCATAGCCAAGTCAAAAGCAATACACACAAAAGGTAACAAACGGCAAAAATATTTGAAAATTAATGCATGTACGTACAGGCGTACATATAAATAAATAAACGGAAAAACACGCATACGCAGTGTATGACGACAACGAAAGATAAGGGACTGAGGAAAAGCAATAAAAACCGTCAAGTTGGCAACATTGACGACATCGAGCAGGACGAGTATAACGCTTTACGACTATAGACGATGTCAACAAACAGCGCAAATACTGGCACACAGCTCAGCCTGGGCTACACCTGCGGCCTAAAAGTATGCAATAAAAAGACAGCCGCCTTTCGTCGTTGCTATTGCGTTGTCGCCGTTTTGCATTAGTCCTGCGAAAGGGACTTGGCTGCGTTTCTTTTGATGCTCTACATACTTGGCTTACAGTAGGTATATCGAGCATGGCATATCCAACAATTAAACAATTTCTCCAGCTACTTTATGTTATGCTACTTTGTGGCATGAAATTGCATTCTCTTACATAAAGAATACAGAATAGGCTATGTTTATGTTGATTTAAATAAAGTTAATCAAAATATTCTCCCGCATCAGCTAATATATGCCTTTAGGAACTTATGTCGTTCATTGTAGGGTATTTAGGTAGTCTATCACAATTTGGGCTTACAATTCTGACTGTGTTTGCAATGCGCTTTTAATTTGACCGCGTCTGGCGGCAACGTTCACGATGACGACGACTGTGGCGTCCTTTCCTTTGCCAGCGCAGCGGCGCAGAAACTTAATTTTCCCACTGTAGCTGTTGTTGATGTTGTTTTCGTTGTTGTTGCTGCTCTTGTTGTTGTTGACTTGCGTTTTTGCATTGCAGTGCAAAGTTTGCTAGTCGCTAAAACTTTAGCCATTTGTTGTTTTTGCAACAATTTCCAGAACGAGGCTATTTGTTGCTTCGCTGGGCCAGACGACGGCAAAATCAACGAAAATGTCGCCCAAAACCAATCATTTCGTTTATTCTCAGACCATCGCCTGCCGACGACGTAGACTCCGCTTCCTAACACTCCTCTAGCAACTTCTATACTATCTCTCAGCGGATGTCTTACTAAGAGGGCAACATTTTAATATACTTGTGGATGCCATTGGCTCACTGCCATTTACAGCGTCCCATGCTCTGTCACGCAATTTTGTTACTAAAATAAATTTTATTTCGCTCGGTTTTTGGTTTCTCCGCGTCGTTTTTCATTTCATCGAGTGCGCCCCTGTTTATGAACTGCTCGCCCTTAAATTGTCTTTATGCCATGGGCCAACTGCATGCCACTTAGACGCTGTCCTTTGACCCAGCCTCTGCTCGTTGGCTTACTCTCTCCCCCTCTCTTTTTTTTCTGCCGTCCTTTTTTTTTTTTTGCTAATATTTTGCGTTTTGGCAAAATGACATCCTTTTGGGTGAGCGAACAGAGCGCCGAAATTTTTGCTTAAATTTAGTTTTGTGTTGTCGGGGTAGAGACGTCTTTGGCTCTGTTGACTGCATACTTTGCCGTCGTTTCCTGAGGGAAATTAAAATGTGCTTAGAGAGTAATTTGAGAACATTTGGCTACTGCGTTTTTGTGCCCTGTACAACAGACGTACATAAAGGGTATTCAAGGCAGCGCACTGCAAAATAAGAATTTTTGTTTATTGTCGTGTTTTTTTTTTGTCTTAGTATTATTATTACTATATTGAGCGCTCTCTGGACAACTTCACTGTGTTAACTTATAATTTATAAATATATCATGATAATAATAATAATAATAATAATAATAATAATTATAATAATAATAATAATAATAATAATAATAATAATAATAATAATAATAATAATAACAATAATAATAATAATAATAATAATAATAATAATAATAATAATAATAATAATAATTATGATAATAATAATAATAATTATAGTTAAATAACAATATTAATAAGTATTATTATTATTATTATTGTTATAGTATTTACGTTTTGTAGTTTCATATTTTAAGGCTCAAATTACACTCGAACTAGCTAGCTTATGATTAAAAATTAATTAATACCAATACTTTATTGCTAGGGCATCATTTACAAAGAACTAATATATTAGCATACAATTCATCTAATTCATCTATTCAAGCAAAAATTATGCGTACAATTTTTAATTATTTATTATTTTTTCACAGTTATGCATTATAATATAAAAACAGTGAAAACAGTTTCACAAAGTAGTATGCGTCGAAATGTAGTCCATAACGTAGGCAGACAATTTAAATAAAAGCTTTTTACCTCAATTCAATCGCTGAAAGGGTTAACATCCATCCGATTTTTGTGCATTATTTTTTGTATGTCATCCATGGTTGCCTCTATTTGTGCATGTCAAATAACATTTCATTGACTTTTGCAATTTTTCGAGCGTTATGTTTTACAAGTGCACATATTGAGCAAACGGCAAAGGGAAATATCAAACGATTGACGTCTACACGATTCGCGCTGATTTGTCACATACATATCAATGCTAATGAAGTACTTGAAGAGAGTCGAGCATGCTACAAAGTTCGTTGAGCTTATGACTGAAGAGCCGTACTTATTGAAAGTAATCTGAGAAAATTGCATACAATTTTGCGAGTTTTCTTTAATTTTACACGAAGCTTTATTCAAATTTTGTAATATGATTAGAATCAGCATGGATTATTCTTTCTTGTTCTTGATATTAGTTAAGTCGCCCTCACCACCCGGGTTCATTTGTAGTTTCTGCTCGTAGCACTCGGGACGGCAGCACTTATACCATATGACGGATACGATGCCCATGAGAAGCCCAAACAATACGCCAATTACACAAATGCCAGCGAAAAACGCCGAATAGTGCACTTCATTTAGCAAATAGGCCAACAAATCTATAACGGGCTGCGCAACGTAATAGCAAATAATTTCAATCGGATTAAACATCATTTTGTAACTGTTCTAGTACACATATAATAAACGAATGAATAAGTTTAGGTCGAAGGCTTTATGATCTCAAATGTTTTTGATAACATTCCATATTTATTTCTATTCAAAAAATTGACATCAATTTGTAAATTTCTCATTTCCACATAAGTATTGAAAATTCCTTAAAACAAATTCTTCGTATTATCATGGAGTTTCAGGAATATTTGCACAAGCAAATGGCCATATTCAACTATCATTTACACTCCGATTATGGGCTGCTTATCAAAACAGCAACTTGCATAGCCTTTGGTGCGGTCTGTGGCTGGATTATGGGTCTTGTCACTTGGTTGCTATATAAGATAGCCAAATGGCAGAAAGTACTGCCCGTCAATTTTTATAACTATCAGGATGATTTGGATTTGGATATGGAATTGGATACTGATATGGGGTATAGCATGCAGATGCATGACAATGACATTGATACATCTATAAGCCCATTATTGGCAAGGCGACGCCATTGAGAGAACCGCTTGTCATTGATCTATTGAGTGTATGTGTGTGCGTGTGTGTGGTTGAAGTTTAAGGCTTGTGCAATATATCAAATGCACTTGCACAGCCTTCAATCGCTCTTAGACTGTCTCGAGTGGCAACAGGCTTGAAGTTTAATACAGTAGCAGAAAAATTTGCCGCAATGTCATTAGCAGATTTGTATGCTATCGATGTTGCAACGCTTTAAATTCAATTACTCATACGCCATGCATAACACCCACAGCCACATAAAAGATGCTCGACTCTTGGCATGTGTGTTTGCTTTGAACATGGCCACAGGCTCGAAATATTTAATAAACCATATCTTTTATTTTTTGCCTTCACCACATTTTGTGCTAAATTTTATAAAATTCTTGGTTTTTGTTGGACTGTGTATTGCCTGCTGTTGATTTTGCACAAATGGCCGGCAGCTATTTTTCCACAAATTCTATATAATTTATATATTGGCTGTCTTTTGCCGTGGCTGCTGTGTAGACACTGAAGGTCATGACTTGATTTGATATTAGCCTTGAAGCTTGCTTTAGTTTTGTGTGCTTTTTTTTTGCCAGTGATTGCTGGTTGCCAATGGCACTAAAAAGCTTATACTTTATGAATTTCAAATTTTAACGCGCATCTATTTGCAGAAATTTCAAGCAAGAAAAGCTCAAGAGAAGAAAACAATATATTCCATTGGTCTAGCAAAGCGAGTCTTTACTGTACAATGCGTTTAAAGTCTTGTCGTCGACACAATATCCAAGCTAAATAGCTAAATTTGATTACTGCATTTGGAATAATCGCCCCAATTAATAAATAATGTACAAAATGTTTTCAATCAGGAAATTTTTGAATTATTGACAATAATAAAAATCTAATTGTTAATACTAGGCCTTGCAACCAACTAGTAATTGAAAACGTTTTGGGCAATTTTCGATTTTAAAAATGCCTCGTTTTTTTCTGCTTGGATAAATCCAAGCAAAACTACACAAACTTCTTTCAATTGCCTTTACCATAAAACAAAGAAAGAAAAAAAAGTAGAGTTCACTTTTCATTCATTGTTCTAGCCCCAGTTATTAGCCTACTTTGAACATTTTGGCAACGTCGCATGTTCCATTGTTATTTAAAGACCATTGTCTATGATAAAAGTACTTGAGAAATGCTTACAACATTTCAGAAACAGCCTCAGCAGGAGCACAGTAAAGACTTAGGAGAGCTGCGACTACCACAACCCCAATTTTCGAAGGCGAGTTATAATTGCAAAAATGTTACAATGCAGTGGGAGGGGCAGCCATATTGCGGTAAGAATGAAAGAGAGTCTGAAACTGAATGAATGCCACGACAAAGGGGTGGGTTGGCTCTGAAGCATTTAATCACCAAACCAACCCCACAGACAACCGCGTAATTCATTCAGTGGGTGCCGTTGAATTCAGAGCTTAAGCCTCCTGCGTTTCCACGCCCCCCCCCCCCCCTTGAAGGGGGTTGCTAGCAATCCAAATGCGCTTAGGGTGTCATAACTGCAATCGCGTCGCGCCGTCGTCCGCGGGACACAAAACTGCTGTCAGCGGGACACATTTACAAAATGCATCTCCCGAAAAACTTGCCATACGCTTTCCCAGATGCAGAATAAACGGGGCCGGGCGCATGGAAATACGACTTAATTGATACATAAATAACAAGTTACACTTTAAGAGCGGGAATCGCTCGACTATAGACAAAAACATTTTATATTAAAGCACACTCATAACTGATTAATTTATAATATAGCCAAATCGTATCGTGCTACATGTAGGGAGTATCAATACTTCACATTCGGAAGTAGCATTTTATGTATTTAAAAATATATTTTTTTGTCTTTTAGTTTTTAATTTGATTTTAGATACATTATTGGAAAATGTATTTTATTATTGATGGATGCCTTTTAAGAAATATCTATCAGGGATGGACTTTTGATATACATTATTCATAATACTTAAAGATTTAACATTTATAAAGCGCACGCCCACTCTCGAGTATTTTCTTGTGCCAGCTTAGCTGTCTATGGAAAACCTTATACACTTCTTTTGAAATACTTTACAAGGTATTTAAGTGCCAAGCTGCGGCCAGACAACCAAAACACTCTAAGCCTTTGCCGGGATGAAGTGTGCAGGTTGTGCACGATTCATTAAGGTTTTTTATTTCATTGAAACATGAGCATTTTTCATATATGAATACGAATGCGCCGTCATTGAAAAAGTATATATTTCATATATATACATACATATATTTACGATTTTCCCGTGCCGTGCGTAATGAGGCAGACGGCTTAGACGGGATGGGATTGCATGGGTTCGAGTGGGTGTGCGCATGTTGATGTTGTTGTTGTTGTTACTGGTGTTCTTGTTGTTGTTGTTGTCTAGGCAACGGCTCAGTGTACTTTATTTTTTATATGCAGCAGCAACGCGGCAACGTCAGAGTTGCATTTTCCGGCATTCGCATTTCCATTGGGAAAAAATATAACTGCCAAGTATTTTACACGGCTGGGAAGCTCGTCTCTGCCCGCCCATTTGTGCGCTCAGCCTCTCGTTTTGGTGCATTGAACCTACCCTCACTTCTATTTGTCTGTGTATGCGGTTCACTTGCTTTGAGATTTTCGTTTTTGGGAAATACTTTAGAGGCAAACTGTGTGTGTAATATGAGGCATTTTCGCTTTGTCGAAGCAAAACAAAATTTTGTAGTTAAAAAAGCGAGCGCAAAGGCTTTTGAGGGAGCAAACAAGATAAAGGAGCGAAATCTCGGACAGGCTTTAAAATTACATACATTGCTTCCATAGAATACCATGGAATATCGTATAATATATATTATTAAGAAAATTAGCTAATAAAAATGTAAGTACATTTTTACTTTCCAATACCAATTAAAACTGTCGATTTAATATAATTGATGCACTTACCACAGTTAAATTGTTGCATTTGCTCTTGTCTATTTCCATCTTAGCCTTTTTATATTTGGTCGATATAAAATTATTTTCCACGCTGAATGCCTGTTGTTAATTTTGAATATTGTCTGAGTTGTTTTATAGGCCTCGCCTTTCGCTCTTGAAATATGCTAAGTAATATATATTATTGTTGCTGATGCTTAAACACATATCTTCCACACAATATTGATTTTTTTGTTGTCTTTCTTGCACCAGAGAATAATTGTGCGCCAATTGGCTAGGTCATTTCGATTAATTCGCCCGTTAATGGTCAACACATAAATAACAAAAACTCAAACAAACCGACCTGATACACATCATGGCCGGCTTTCATTTGCTCAATTGCCGTCATGTGGAATACTCAGGACATCAGGTTGCTGCGTAGCGGGCTTGCTCAGGCCGTCTATCGCCGTTTTTTTCAGTGTAGTGCCTGGCTGCTCTATGGCATCGCACGGGGATGTCATTTTTTCAAGCTGCGCTACAATAAACAACATAAGCGAATGGAAGAGATGCAGTATCATCGCATCATCTCCAAGTTAGTTGTGACGGTTAAGTGTTTGGTATTTCTTCGCGATGCGGTGGATTATATGGTACTTGGGTTCGTCGTATGGATACATTTCTTTAGAGTCGAAGACAGCGGGGGACAGAACTTTTTGATCGGCCTAGTCATGCAAGGCCTAACCATGCATGTACTGCGTCGTGTAACGATTTTTTTACATTCGCAGGAAGATCGCAAATTGATAATGCATCTGGTCAACGAGATCTTCTTCATAACACGCACCATTGAGAGCAAGTTTGGCATGATTTATCACTGTGAGCTGTGCCTGTTGTGTGTTTACTTTTTCAAGCAATATTTGTTGTATGTTATGCTGGACTCTATGTGGCACAAGCCCTACTTTCTCTGGATAAACTTTTTCTATTGGGTACTAATGGAGTATTGTAGCCTTGGCTATTTCATCTATCAGTTGATTTTGCTCAATTGGTATCGCAACTTTAGCTTCTTCTTGCAACGCTTTATCGAATATCATGGGAGTCAAAGTTTTATATCTGGTCGTTACCATCGCCGTCTGTTGTGGCTTTTCAAAATACATTTACGTATCAACAATTTACATCAACATATCAAAAAGAAGGTCGCCTGGCTGCCCGCGGCCATCTACTTAGCAATTTTTACGAGCATTTTTAACATGACGCTGATGATTGAGTGCATCGTCTATGCTGGGGATGAAATCGAGAACAAAGTGTATATTATGTCAGATGGTTGCCTAGGCCCGGCTGTAATTCCAATGCTCAACGTATTTATTATTGGCTTGTGCACTGATCGATTACGCAGCGAAGAGTTAACTCAACAGCAGCAGATTGTACTCATAAATATTTTATATGTACGTAAGGCCTTCCCACACGATCATACACTCAAGGTGCTCAACAACGAGGTGAGTTTCGAAATTCAGTTAACTCGGATGAGTGTCATCTTTTCGATTGTTTACAGCACACTTCTTTGATTGTGCATCAAAAATTGGAGCCGTTGCTCAATGTGATCATTTTGGATACCACCTGTGATCGTGAATTTGCCTTTGACTACTTCTTGACAGTGATTGTAACTGCGCTGTCCTTTGTACAATACACAGTTTCAACAGGTCGCATTCTTGATGAGTGTGTGACTCACAAATAGGCGAATCCCATAAAGTGCATGTATCAAAAAGATCTAACAAAGACCTGCAGAAAGAAAGAAAATTGTTGTACATTAAAATGTGTGTGCTTTTGTTATACTATATATACATATATACTATATATATATAAAGAAAATGTAGGATGTGCCTTAAAAATTAAACGCATCTAAGTGCAAGAAGTTTATTTAACATTGAATGCAAAATATCTTAAAAACTTAAGCTTATTGAATTATAATATAAAATAGTTAATAAATAATGAAGAATAATTTAAGATATTAAATATAAATTCTCACTCACTCATTTTTTCACTACTCATTTTGATAAGTTCGTTTCATACCACTTATCAACAACTTAGTGAGCGGCAAAAGAATTTATAAATTTTCACTCCATAACAGCAACAGTTCAAGCATTCAACAGTCACGTACCAATTCGACACACAATGTTTTCGAAAAGTAAAAAAAAAGACTATGCAAAACATTCAATTTTTGATACATTTTGCTGCTACATTTAAATTTATTTTTACAACCCTCCAGCAAATGTGTGCCTACCCGCCAGACGATAAAATAATAATCGATTTGACTTTGGTTTGAGTATTATTTTTTTTTTTTTTTTTGCTCTCTTTTGGTTAAAAAGCCCACAACTCATCTGAGCCGCCGCACAAAATGTAAAAAATGGAGCTCTGGCACTTCCTGCTGGGAATCGATTTTTGTACATTTCCCCAAACTGCGATGCTACCAAAATTTATGCGAATTTGAATTTGATATGGTTAAACTGTTTGCCTAGGCAACGTCAGCCATGCAAATGGTTTGATAAGAGCAGCATGAGGTGGGCATGGGGCCCGGGTGTGCTGAGGGGCGTGTTGTAGGCTGTCATTGTGCCTAGCTTTGTCGCTTTTTAGTGTAAAATTAATTTGCTATAATTCATCAATGGACCCGGGCAAAGGATTATTTTGCATAAAAAATTGTGGCACTTGTCGATTTTGCATAGTCTGCTTTTTGGGCATGGCAGCAGCAGCTGTTAGGCAAGAGCTTGGGCCCGATATCAAGCTAAAGAGTATGAGGAGAAGGTGGCCCAATGCCATTCGGTGTGTGTAACTGACGCACTTTGTGTAATTTATGGCTGCACATTTATTTTATTGAGTTTAATGTGGACGCAGTTGTTGCCAGCGCCTTTCAAAGGTGAAAGGTTGGGTCCACGGGGAGTGGGACTGGGGATAAGAGCCGTGCAGGCAGCTTGAAGGATGGGAACTGGTGGCCCATTGGCGCTTTGTTATGCCTGACTGAGCGCAGCGGCAAATGTATTACGTTTGAGCAGGGATGAATGGTATTCGAAGATGCCACAAACACGGTTCATAAAATGAATCAGCGCTTCACAGTCATTGGAATATTAAATTCCAATAAATATTGAGTGCCCAAAATATTAAGACTTGTGTGTAATGAGAACACACAGCTCAACAGTACAAGAAACTGTGCTGAATACAATCAATCAATCGAGTCTCTATTTTAATAGTTTATTTTAAAATCAATAAAGACTTGCATCATTAAATTCCAAGAAATAATATAAATTATCGTCTATGTTTTTTGCTATCTTAGAGGGAAAGCTAATTAGGCAATAGGAATTTAAGATCTAAGCATAGAATTTCAGAAATGTGCATGAAATATGCTCTTCTATAAGGTGTTTTACTTCTTTGCCTACAAATAATATACCTAAGGCTTAGCATTAAAATGTTTAATGCCAATTAAATGAAATATGTTTTGTATAAGCCGATTTCTATGACAAACAGGCAAACAAATTAAATCGTTTGGCCCAGAAACTTTACAAAACTCGAAACATAGACACAAACACCGCTGCTTGCTTTTTGTGTATGTGTGCGTGTGTGTGTGTGTGTGCGTGTTTGCGTTTGTCTGATGTTGGCCAACAACTAATTAAGTATTCAAAAACGTTTTGGCATAAAGTTTAAATTGTCTGTGGACATGGGCCTGATGGCCGTACTTTGTGTACGGCTAGCTACGAAAATCCAATAATAAAGCCAAAGCTGCCGTCGACGACGACGACGCTTGACGCTCATAAATTATAGCAAATTATTAAGCAAGGAGTCAAAAAAGTTTGCATCGCACGCGCCAAAACGAAACTTGCAAGTACATTGCGTATACGTAATGTCGCCTTGTGTTGCGGCGAATGATTTATTTTTATTATTATTGGCGGTGAATTTTAAATCAAAAAGCGCACAAATGCTGTTGCCCAAATTGCGAGAAAGTCGCCCCCACAAAAACCAAAAAGGACAAAAAGAGCAAGGGAAAAAATTTGTGCTACAGTTTTGTGAGTTGCCTTCGGTGGCAGCTGCTTTTGTCATTATTAATAACTGTTAATTATTCACCATTATAACTATGCTTGAGAGCACGTTCTTGTTTGTCGTCTGCCCTAGCCACACGCCCGCCAGCCCCTCTACCGACTACTACCATTCAGAATTCTCTATGTACTTTGCCGCTCAAGTAAATTCTCTTTTCATATTGTTGGGCATCATATTTTTTGTGCTTCTTAGTTAACGCCTGTTCGTCTCGCCTCATTTTCTCCCGGTCTCTCTCTCTCTCTCTCTCTCTCGCTCTCTCTGTCTCTCTGGCTGGCTCTGTCTGTCTCTCTATTGGCCATATTTACATATTATTAAAAAGTTTTTCAAGCTCAGACGACAACAACGACGAGCGGGAAACTTTTCTATTTTGCCTTGGCTAAAAGTTATTGAAAATTCATGAATAATTGACATTTATTGCAGTTGGCACAAGTGATGGTCGATAATGGACGACCGGACGCCCACTCTAAAGTAGGCGTGCCATCTGAGATTTTCTCAGTGCGTGTGCCTGTGTGTGTGTGTGTCGTTGCCCATTTATAGACATAAATATTAAAGTAGCTTACGTACTTAATTGTAAATTATGTATTCAATTAGTTATGCCAGCCTGCCCGAACTGAGCATATGGTCCACATTGATAGTCGGAGGCTGCAGTGAGCCGAAGCGAATGCACTGAAAGAGATAGCTAGCTACAGAATATTCAATCAAATTTGTGGGTCTAATTTACAGTTCATATACAAGGTTTGCAGCTGGTAATTGTTTGGCATGTTCTCAATCATTTCTGCCAGCAGCCATTTATATTTAATATTATTTTCGATTAGACCAATCTATTGCCTAATTATAATTCCAAAAATAAACATACTACACCTTAGACTTATTTTCGAGCAGTATGAAATAGTTCCAATCTGTTGCTCATGTGTAAAATACATTTTAAATTCTATTATTATGTTATACAAATACTTTACTAATTTTACATGTGAGCTGCGCTTAAATGTTATCAAGGAGTACAGTAAAATATATATATTTTAGACATTTCGACATTATTAATTAACAGTTTATTATGAAAAGATTCACAACAAAATTTTTGTATATTTGAAATTCGAATTCAGTCATAGGCCAAATGAAAATTATTAAATGAAATAAATGATGCTCGTTAAAAAAAAGGCAACAAAAATATTTACAGCATTAAATTTATTCAATAAATGGCCAAACGACAAATTGTATTTAATTTTGGACAATATAAATGCAATGTGGCTTCAGTCAGCTTGAATTTAGACACAAACAAGAAATTAAAGATTATTTCTTAAACAATTAGATATTTTGTTTCTCTGGGCAATCAAAATGCCAAATATGTCAAATTCTCAAACAAACAATTATATAAACTGTTCGGCAAATAGTTAAAATAAGTCAAGATGACAGCCAAGCCAAAAATCAATTTGATGCGAATATTTAAAGAACTGTCTGAGGCTTAAGTTTCGCATTTTAGTTGATGGCATTGCAGTTTTTCATTAAATGTGGCCCGCAGCGAGTTTACAGAATAACCGAGATATGACTAAAGCCTCCCACTCTGTATTATGAAAATGTGGCAGTCTTTCCTGTGCCACGCCCCGCTCTCTTCGCCCGTGAGTTGCCTGCCTAAATATATTTTGCCATAAAATAACACCAGAGGGCGCTGTCAGTAGCATAAGCTCAGCATATCCGTTTTTGTTTTAGTTACAACTAACTGCATATGGATATAGTATTCGAGTGTGTGTCTGTGTTGCTGGTATGCATATGGTATGGCATACATATAGGTATATATATATATATATATATATATATCAAAACATTTATGTAGAAGTATGTAAACCGCATATGCTGACGGTTTTGAGAGCCGGCGCTACGCATTTCCAGGCATTTGCATTCAAATGCATTTAATTAAATCAACTAGAACCAACAGGAAAATGCAGCAACATCAGCAACGAGCTCAGCTCAACCCAACAAATGACCTTTTCTCACACTCGCATACAAGCACATACACACACACCCTTCAGGCGCTCAATATGAGCCTCATAACATTTAAAACAAAATTTATTTTGTGCAAATTTTGCCAGGTTCGTTAGTTTTAATTGTGTTTAGTTTTCATTTTCAGTGCAAGTTCGCACAGTGGCACAACTACGAAAATTATCCAGCAAAAATCTGAACAAATACAAAGAAAGCTAAAATCAGAAATTATATGGAGAAGCTTTATATATTCGTAAATGGGAAAACAAGCTCATTATTGTACTCTAAGCCAGAAACTTCACTTAATTTCTTAATATTATTTAGTTAAAATTAATGAAATATTAAATATATAAATATTTAGAAAGCACAGATTCAACGATTTCATAGATCTTGGAAAGTTAATGTTTAAATTTAAAGAAATATCCATAATATCCAGCAATTTTCTAATATGTTGTTCACATTTTCCTACCAGTGTACTTGGCCTTTGTTTGGCTTGACAACAATTTTTGCTATGCTTACAATTAACTTTGCCAAAAGTGTACTTTTTTTAGTCGACTGTTGATGCTTTTTCTGCCAATTTGACAGTTTTGGGATTGCGGTTTTTCAAAACAAGTGAGGCCATTAAATAAAAAACAAGAGCAGCAAAAGCGGGATCGAGAGTGCTGTCGACCTGTCTGATTGCCTGCCTGACTGCCTGCCTGGCAGCCCGGCTGACTATCCTGAGGCCAATCTCACTGTCAATTAGCAATTGGCTGAAAAAGCGTACCCGCATCAAGCTGTCAAAAAGTTAAATGTGAAAAACTCATTCGTATCATTTATAATATTATCGCTAATTGAAGACAAGGCTGAAGGTAATGCCCAATGGCCTCCGATAAAAGCGCCATCTTCCCAGGTTGCGGCTCAGAGCCCAACCCTGCCCCTGCACCAATTCACAATTGAAATCAAATCAAGACTGTAATGAACCAATGATAACTTGACCTAGGAAAAAAAGGGTATAAGCCAGAATATTGTATCCATGTTTATTAACACTCGAATGCATTTTCTTTGTGACAATTTGTTATTCTTCTTTACTGTTTCAGTTCCTCGTGTTAACTTGACAGTGGGTTCCAACACAATGGGCTAAAGTTTTGAATTCATTTCATTTTTGTTCATATTGTATTCTTTTTCAAAAGGACATTCTGCACGACTACACTGATTTATTTAGGCCTCAAACGGAACAGACAGAATTTATTTAAATAAAAACCGAAATAATCTACAAGGGTTGATATGAAAAGTTTAAATGAATATTAGATTTAATATGTTCAGCAAGCAGTTAAATAAACATATTAACTATAGATTGTTTGTATGTATATAGGAGTATATAAGTGAATATTTATTTCAGGCCAGAACTTAATGAGCACACCTCGACTTGTTGTATCATAATTATCAACATACATGCGCCAACATTTTAGGAGCTTATTTAATTAATTGAAATGCCGTCTTGGCAGACTATGCCCACGACGACTGAACATCAGACACTCTGCTTGGAAGAACTCTCGCCCCCTCACTTATAACATCCATTAGTGGGGACAGCGAGGCATAATTGTGCCAACATTTAGCATCATTATTTTTGCGCATTATCTTTGATCTTAATAGTTTGCTTTGACAAGGTTTTTACTTTTTGGGGCTAGCCCGCAAAGCATTTAATGTGATTAATTAATTTAAAGTCCCTAGGGATAAGTAGGGAGCGAAATCATCTGCTCTCACAATGTTAAAAGATACAGCAGAGCATTTCTACCCAATTCCTCTAATTGCCTTCAATCAAACGAGAACCTTTCATAAGACGCGTTGACAGTGACATTTAAAAAATGTGGGAGGAAGGGAAAAAAACAAAGAAAACTAACGAAATTTTAATGCTGCCTACCACAAGGTGCTTTTGAAAAATGAATGCGAAATTCAGAGCCTGAAAGCTGCTTCTCCAGCTCAGGTTGGTGGGCAACCCTTTGATAACTGACACCAGGTGAGCAGTGGCCGTCGCCAGTTTTGATGGACACGCCGCACAGGTACAGTCCGGACAAAAGCCCCAACTCAGAGCCATTTATCAACACGCCGCGGCGCCATTTTAACTTAATAAACAATAATCAGGCTGTAATTATATGATGGTAATGGCATAATGAGAGCCCAGACAATACGTCAACGTCCTTGTTTGGCTTGATAATTGAAAATGTTTGTAATTTTCGCCCGGCTTGCCTTTTTTGTTGTCTTGCTTTCCCTCAAACTTTGCACTTTTATCTGTTGCAAAACTTTTGTTGGCCTTTTTTTCATTTTCCTTTTCCTTTTTTTTTTGCTGCTTCTATTTTTATTGTTGTTGTTGTTGGTTGCTGCTGCCACAAAAGTTTTGCGACAGTTTAGGGATTAGCAGTCCCGAAGTAGGCAACGCAAAAAAAGAAAAGAGAAAAGAAAAGTTTCGGGCCATGTACAAATTTAAGTGCTAAAAAATTTGCTGGATTATGCGGCAGTTGATAAAGTTCTTGCGCGGGGAATTAAATGTCAATGTTTGGACCTTGTTCTTATTGTTGCTTCAGAGTAATTCACTAATAGATTCCTCTACTAAATATTGGAATTCGAGGATGACACTAATGTTAAACTCAAGCAAACATACGTGGGTCAGGCAAACAAAACTTTTGATTATTACTGGCAGCCCACGCACGGAAAACTTAAGACAAACACAGCTGACGATGGCTCTGGCCTAGAGAGGGCAGCGGGGAGAGGTGGCTGGGCGGCTCTGCGGCCTATCAAGGCTCATTTTACGCCCGCTTATTATTTTAAGCCCAGGCAAAGTTGAACTTTTAGCGCGAAACTAACCAAAAAGAAGCAACAACATTTTTGGCGAAAGGTAACACAGGAATGATTATCTTTGCCAAGCACAGACTGGTTAAATACTCTCTTAAGTCCGGGAAAAGTTAAATTTTTGGCCAATTTTTTCAATAAATTCTTAAAAAAAAACTATTAATGCACTTAACGCTCTACTACTAAGAATATTTGATCCAGCAAACAGAACTATATTAAATATCATCATTCTGCTTATTAGGATTATCTACGAAATGAATAAGTTATAACATGTTGAAGGGTATGAGAAGTCGATGAGAATCGGACGAAGAATGAACTCCCAGCGCAGTACAAATAATTTTCGGTACATGCCAGACATAAGCCCGAAGCTGTTGCTTTGCCAACGACTTCGAAGTTTAAACAGAGTGCGAGGCAGGCAAATAGGGATATTATGGGCGGGTAGGTAGGGGAAAATGGCACTGAAACTTTTCACTAAGATGCTTGTACTTGTATGCGCTTCAGCTGGCCGCTTGCGCAATTTAACTAAAAGCTCAATCAATCATCTCACATAGACGGCGCCTCCATGGCAATGCTTAATTTCTGCTTTAGTTCCTGCCGCGCAGCTGGCGATGCCTTTGTCAATGTTGTCATAGAGTTTCGTTTCGGCCAAGGACCGTTTCGCCTGAAGAAGTTTTAAGCCGCTTTTCAAGGCGCTTTTTGAAGTTTATCTGCTCGGTTGGCAGGTTGGCCAGCCAGGCAAAAGCCCCATGGCGCTACCTGGCCAAAATGTGTGCTCTGCATGCATTTAGGCACCCGCTAGCAAACATATTTGTTCAGCTGCAAAAGGGTTGATTATTAGGTGCTGTGGCTAGCTTTATTCCCCGAAAATTGTTGCGGCTAATGCGCCCAAAGGCGGCTTAACGATTAAGTCTGCAACGTGACGAGGCCTTAAAGTAATTGCTTGGAAATGAGCCCAGCTTTTCATGTACATGCTGTGCAATTAAAATGAAAAGCCTTTAAGTAGGCTACGCAAAAAGAAATATTTCGATCAAAAGGTGTGAGCGACCTCAACATGCCCTAGAAAAAGTACAGAAATTATATATATACTGACAATTACCAGCCATCATGCGGACATAAACTATAAAATGCCTGCATGAGCGTGTTACATAGCTTTGGCCTCAGCAAATATGCCCAGTACAGTATATACTATGGCTGGAGTTGAAAGCAGAAAAAACTATGCTTTATAAACTTACAGCTCGAGGCTGATGCTAAGTCGCACTCTCGGTCCCAGACGACGACAATGATGATGATGAGCGACATAAAAAGAAACAGTAGAATGCAGGCAACGCAAACAAGAACAACGACAACAATAAAAATAAGAATATAATTATGTCTGCTTTTTGCAATTATTTCAATTATAAACACAAGCTGTTGCATTTGGCAGTGTGCCACATCAACAACAATAACAACAACAGCAACAACAAACAATATAAAGTTGCCGCCAGGCAAGAGGTGCAGCGGTGGGTGGCGTTGGGTGGCAGGCTGATGCTCGCATAAAAATCCCTTTGCACAGTTTCCAGCTTGCAGCGTGCAACGTGCAGCAAGGGAGACGCTTGCATAAAATGAGCACATTAGCCTAAAAGCAGGCAGCATAAACTGTGCAAAACTCCGCCAGCGCTGGGAGCAGAAGGTGTTAGACTGAGCAAAGATATAAATAAAATATTATCGGTGTGCCGAAGACGAAATACCCTTGCAAACGAAGGGAAGATATGCAAAATGTTTCGTATGTTCAACGAAAACGTTGACAAATGGGTACAGGAAAATATGGGCCAATACTGGGATTTGAGCCCGAATGCAATATATCATCAAGATTGTTTTAATATGGTTAGATGAGTTCATCCAGGCACAGACAGTCGGGCGAATTGAATGAGGGAATTAAAATATATATATCCCTATGAATCGCAGTTGCTTCACGTTGACTGTAACACATATTAGCACTAATTTATAATACCCTTCACACTCTATTTTTAATGGGTACTGAGAATAAACACAAAGACGCCCCAGTGCATGCAGCAGTTTTTTATGTAACTGCCACTGCTACTGCTGCTGTTACTGCTGCTGCTGCTGCTGCTGCTGCTGCAGCTTGTTGCATATGCATGCCTAGGCGCAATGCATGAAGTCTGGACAGCACAACAGCAACAACAACATAATTACTATATAAACTGAACAAGCTTTTGCCTGACTTTTGACTGTGTGCCTGTGTCTCTGTCTCTGTCTGTAGTGTTTATAATATTTTTGGCATGTGCCGGGAATTGTTTTTGGCTCACGTTTGCAGCAGCAACAGCAAAAACAACTCGTGCTCATAATAAAACTTTTACTATGACAGTAAAATTTTAATGAAATCACTGCAAAACTACAAAACACTTGTGCTACAAAACGTACCAAGGCATTCAGACCAGACCAGACCAGACCAGACCCGACCCAGACCCGACCAGACCTGGGAGTACCCAACAGGAATGTTGACTGGGGGACCAAGACTTGGGAGTGCAGTGCACTATTATTGTTGCTGCTTTTGTTGAGGGACGTGCAAAGTGCATCGCAGGCAATTGAAGACAGCAGGACGTTGAAAAAAAATGAACTTTGTTTGTTTATTGTCGCAATTTGTAACACATTTTAAATATTTATAAGGAGTAAACGCAATGTGACTAAAATATATCATCAGATGGAAATGGTAGCATTAAGGATACAATGACAATATTCAAATTAAACTGCCTTAAAAAAGACACTTTCAAAAGAATATGCCCACTCGGGAGATACTCAGTATGAATAGACAACAACTGTGATATTTCTATTTTAAAATGTTCGTTTCTATTTAACTTTGCAATCTTATCAATTGATTTGATTGACGAATGGTGCCCACGCTGCTGGTGAAACTTGTCGGACCAGTACCTCGTATTTACTGATCTGTCTCAAAGGGAAATTCTCGTACCGGATAAAACAAACCTTTTGCGCAAGATACAGGGTGCCAATGAAAATACCGCCATCGGTTCTGGCGCGGCAGACGTAAACACGTTCGTTCAGTGCGCTTGTACCCACAGAAACAGCATTCCTTTCCCTGAAGCCATCGTAACTGCGCACCCAATGATAGCTGACGGTTTCATTGGCGATCAGCAACTCGTAGGAGGTCGCCTGATTAGCGAGTGTGTCGGTGTTATAGGTAGTGTACCCAGTTTCGGACCTTACACGGGCTGGCAGAATCGAGCTTGAATAAACGACGCGCCCCACGTAGTTTTCATAGCCGTATGAATCGATGCCGCCTAGCACTGCGTTTTCGGGGAAGTTCTGCGTCTTATCCGAGAGGACCCAGCGATCCGTATTATCGTATACTCCACAATAAATGGTGCCCAGTAGCTGGGCAAAAATCAGCGTAAAAGCAATAAGTTGCGTTGGGGAGTACATTGTTTTAACTGTCTGGTAACTGTGTAGATTGTCGATAGGTTTGGTGTTTATATATGCTTCTGATGGTTGTCAGAGGGAATCACTTGCTGATAAGCGCAGGGTAACCCTCAAAACTAAATGTTGATAAGATATGTCAAATTTAGTATTTGAAATCGTAATACTCATAATGACAGTCGACTAATCGTTTCTTCAGAATCTCAAATTTGATAGATATTAGCAATGTTTGTGTGATATGTTTTGATTGTTGTCACCCAATCACATTCAAACGGTGGCTCTAAGACTACAATTATTTGTATGTCAGTCTTTTAAGAAAATTCACACATTTTGGTAAATCGGACGCAATCATAACATTAGCTACCCACATTGATTTCTCAGCGACAACATATAAATCTGAGGGCCCTTTACGCCACCTACACTCCCCCTCATTGTGTCCCGGGCATGCCTTGTACATCTCTCATATAAATCAAATAAGCTGGCGATGGTCTGCCACGCCCACCTCAAAAAATATATAAATCAAATCACAGCCATAAACCTAACCCAACAAACAAAAAGCTACAAAAGAAAATTGCCGCCCAAATGATAACCCCAAAAAAAAAAGATCCGAAAAAAGGAAACGCTTGAATTAATTTGCATTATTAAATCGTTCGCATAAATCGCAGAGCAGCAGCAACAAATACAATAATGGAATAACAAAAAAATATATACAATACGATAATTAAAACATCCCCAAGGAGCTTGGAACTAATTGCCGCAGCCCTTTGGCAGTTGGCAGCGAGTGTTATAAATAAATAAATGAAAACCAAACCGAACCGAACTGAACCAAAGTCAACGCCATGCATAAATTATAAGCAAGTGTGGCGCTAGCGCCTTAATTTATGCTTTAAAATTTTATATTAATAACGAACAGCATGAAAATTGGCTCAGAGACAAGAGAGAGCGAGAGAAAGCGAGAAGAGAAGAACGAGAGAAATTTGTTGCAAACGCACTAATTCAATAATTTATGCACATTTTGTAACACATGAACGCATTTGGGCAACTGCAAGGATTCCCGAATCCTTTTTCTGACAGTTTTAATTAAAATTAAGTAAATGGCAATACAAACTGTGCAATTTGTACATACCCTGTAATTATGATAATAATCAAAATGCATTTTACTCTAAAGTTCTTCAAAGAATACTAAATAAATTCAAGCAAAAGAAATAGAATAGAAACAAAAATAAAATAGGTATTGTTTTAAGAAAATAACAAGTACTCCTTGAAGAATCAATATAACATTCAACAAAATTTAAAAAATATTATAAAAAAGTTATATAAACAATCGCAAACTTTTTTAATCTAATATTTTTTCTTTCGCCATCTGCCATCGATTTCTACGTTTTCACAGTTTTTGACGAATATAAAAACCAAAAATAAGATTGCTCATAATGAAATCTATGCAAGTTGTATACGCTCTTTATACACTTTATTACAGGGTAAAATTCAATCCAGGGCACAGGAAGCATATTGAGAGAGGCACTTTTGGCTTGGCATGCGTTTCAAATTGAGCGGATTAAGTTTAATTACAATTTTTCGCTGATGGTGGGTGGGATAGCAGCAACACACACACATACACACACACACACACGCGCGTCACACGCAGGGAAACTATATGCAGGACCTCCTTTGTGCAATGCATTTGTAAGGGTTGTTCCTTTGTCTGGCTCATAAATGAAAAGTAAACCTTTATGCAACACTGCGGGATGCAATGCAATGCAGACTGAGACCAAAAGCAGAACCGCATTCAAAGCCAACCCCCCCAAAGCAACCCCCGAAGCCAAGCACACACGCACACACACACTCACACAGAAACAGGCGAGCATATCTGTTGAAAATTCGTTACGCACACGTGTTCAATGTTATCCTGTCGCCCAGTGCAGCTCCTGTTGCGCTCAGTGCTTATAATTGGATTTAGTTGTCGTTAAGTTTGGACTGCTGCTTATTGTTTCCCGCCGCTCGTGCATATGTTTGTTGTCATTATTGGCACCCAAAGACGAAAAGGCGACGACGCCGGCAATCTTCTCCAGCTTCTGCAGCGTGTGCCAGTATGTGGTTTCTAATGGCTGTCCTAGCCTTAACGCATGGCCTTTGGGGTTGCGCATAGCGCCTCAGAGGCATTAACCATTGAAATTACAGGCTCCATAAAGAAAACTGATTACTTGGCAGACATTGGCGACGTATCAAGAGGGTGCACTGATCCAGCACATTGGCAAGGTTAATTAAATTCAATGTTGAATTTTAATATGGGTATCAAGCTCATAATGTATATGATTGTGTTGATGCCAAGGGAATGATGCCCAGTCTTGATTTATAGCCAAAAATAAACGCAAATAAGTTGAAGTATAGAAGTTGAGTCTGGGGATAGCAAATAAATGTACCAGAGTCAACTTGAGCTTACAATTAAAATAATAATTTGAATTGATGCAAATGTTGTTTTGACCCAACTCGAAGACGTTTATATGTTAATTTAATTATTGCAAAACAAGTTTGGGCGAATATTCAATGAAGGCGTATCAATTAGTTGTACACAATTCCAAAAATTAATATTATTGGAAAGCAAATATTAAATTAAATTAAATTATACAGGTAACATTTTTAAATTCCAATTGCGAATGTAGTATGTATCTTTCGATCTATAATGGCAAACATTAGGGTCAAGCTCGGTAAAGATTCCTTTTTCATGCAGACAACTCGTTAATCAATAATTATTTATAAAATAGAGAAAAAATAAATCCATGTCTCTATTTAGGTACAGCTACATTGCTAAATTACATTCTTATTCTGTCGATTCATGCAGCTTATCTGCATTAAAGTTAATATTTTGATAGCCCATTTCTAATGGCTAATATCACCTTATAGCTGACACTTCTGGACACGGAACGCATCGAATTATTTACAGAGTAATTACGTTTAATGCTTTTCCCTATACCAAAGTCGGGCGTCTCTGTGGGGTCTTTCGCTGGCCACATGCTCCTCTAATTACTTTCGAAAATTGTGATCAATCACACGATATATATGTATGTATGTGTTTTATATATATACAAATGCACCCACGAAGCCACACAGACCCTGCATAATGACCAACCCGGCATAGCGACTCGGGCAAACACCTCAGAGCCAAAGCCAGAAGCCAATAGCATGGCTAAAAGCATTTCTGCCTTAATCGTTTCATGTCGCGCGACAAGTTAACCCCCCCTTACACACACACACATACACGAGTACAGAATGCTAGGGTAAATGGTTCGGTGGAGCTATGGCTGGTGCCACAGCTATAGCAACCACTACAGCTTTGGGCCGTGGTCAGCTGTGCGTCAGATTTGTGTAGATTAGCTGAACAGTTGGGTCTGGTTTGCCTGGCAGGCGCTCTTAGTAATAATTGCAAACCAATGACAGGGAAATTCAATTCAAAGGCTGCCAGGCGACACCACGGCAACAACCGAAACAACAGCAACAATACCAACATCAATAACAATAATAACAACAACAACATGAAGGCAGCTTGAAATTTCAATTGGATCGATTTGCGATTGACAAAAAGCGTGCCGGACCAAATGTTGCCTGACATTTTGGTGGCGGGGGACAGCTTCACGGGATTTGCGTTTAAATGACCAACGCAATTATGGCCAAGCATAATTATAGCTGGGTGTGTGTGTGTGTGTGTGTATGTGCCATTGTTTGTGTGCCTGTGTGTGTGTGTGTCTGTGCCATTCTGTGTTGTATTGGAAAATTTAATTGATTTAATCAAACAATGACAAAGATTAATGCGGTTTATTACCATGGACGTAGTCGGTGAGGGGTTTATAGCTTAATGCAAGTTTCATATAATTATCAAATTAAACATATATAAAATTAACGAGCTCAAGCATTTTTAAGATAGATAAAGGTTTTTTCTTCTTTTTTTAAGCTGGCAAATTATTACGATAAATATATAAAATGATGCTTAATAAATAAATGTTGTAATTAGCGCAAGCGGCTTAAATGTTAAGTAGGCATAAAAATGTATTAAATTGCATAAATAGAAAAAATATGAAAAAATTAGGAGCAAACAAACATTACTCTTAACATAAAAAACATAAATAAATCAGAAATCAGTTTTTTCCCCGATTTTGATATATGTATACACATTGATTTGTAATCTCTCCATTTATAAATATATCTGGTCATCTAAACAAAGGTTTGCCCCTTTGCATTTTAAAAACAGAAGAAACAAATCCTTTTATCTAAATTTGCTTTTATATTATTTACCTAACTTTCCCCTTTTCTATTGTCTGTACGTTACCCCACTGATAATTTGCTTGTTTATCTTGCATTTTTGTCGAGCTCAGTGTGTGTGTTTGCTTTGTGTAAGCGAGATAATTGTTTATAAATGCAAAACTATAAATATGCAAAATATTTATATATGTGTGGGTATGCGTGTGTATTCAATAGCTGCATATTTACAAGCAATAATATATTAAATGGTAATTGTTTATGGCATATTATGGCCATTATGGTGTATGCCTTCATTTATTTTAATATGCCTTCAATCAACACACACGAACAGGATAACACACACACACACTCTCTCACACACGGGCACACACACACGGCTAAAAATTTCAATCAATTGTCATTTGCATAAAATCAACATTAAAACGGCGGCGTCCTCCAACCACAAACACAAAAAAATAAATAAATTTCAACCCAGCGAAATTTTAATTAAAAATCAGCTTGCAACAATGGAAAACAACAACAATAACAACAACATCAACAAAACTGCCGAGAAACATGCAAAAATTGTTTTTGGAAAGGTGGAAAAGTGAAAGTCACTAAATTTGAAAAACGAAAATGGCTGCGCGCGCAGAGAGAACAGTAATAAATTTCAAGTCAAGATCCCAGAGAAAAATACTAAAAAAAAGCGCATAAATTAAACATAAAACGTTGCCAAGTGCAACGCTGCTCAGAATTGGAGTTTACGGTAGTTA